GAGTTTTGCAAATATCTCAGCAACGTTGTGGTTGTATTTCGCTTAGTACCCTGCCGCGAAATTATAATAGGCAGAAAATAAAAAGGTATAACATAGTACTGAAATAGTTGAAATCCATGGATCTCGGTTAGGTTTTATGAATCATGGTGTTGAATCGAAGCTTTTCGAATAGAGTAGTGATAACGTCCGAGAACAATCCTTTTGATGAGGTGTGCGTTGTAGATTAACTGTTTGCTAGCTATTAATGCAGATTCATAAGACGTAGTGTGAAATTTTTCCGTAAACTGGATGGTCGGTGGAAGCAATATTCCCAGTGATTCAGATGACATGCTTGCAAAAACTGGAGAGAGAAAGGTGTTTGACGAGCGCATAGTAAAAAAAAAAAGCTCTGGGCGTCGGTCAATCCATTAGGGATGCGCCATGCATTCGACTTCATCGCGCTTCGTTTGGAGGTGATTGAATGCACATTTGGCTTTTACAATGATTTGCGGTGGGTGGCCTACCGATGGATCGAGTCAGTGCTGCTATCCTGCCAGACAAGTCTGGTACTAATTTGCCGACCCCGGAGGGAAGGAAGGCTTGGTGGGCCATGGGCGCGGTGGTCGATTCCACGTGTGTGTTGCAGGGCGTCTCCGACCACTGCGCCACCCCGAGTGTATACGATTTTTAAAAACATTGAAAGTGAAGTAAGGTGTATCATGTTTACAAATCAAGACTATGATTCTATTACGGTTGCGAACTCAATGGTAGACTCTGCCAGGAATCCAAGACTGCTTTACAAACTAGTTGGCCTGAGAGTTCTTGTAAGCCCAAAACTTCCATTTACAACATCAGTAGATTGTCTTCACATGGGGAACATAACGTACCTTGGCAGAATTTATGAAGCAAGTGAATCCTCTTAATGTCTACTTTTTATTTAGTGCCCACTATTATTTCTCCACGACAGGATGTGATATGAAATGCAAAAACTATGGTGCTGAGATATTTGCAAAGCCTGGACCCAAGCCAGATTCGAACGCGCCACTACTCTTCCCCGAAGCTCACTTTCTCTCGTACAGTTTTCTCCCTTACTGAAATTCATGATTTGCCTTTCTCTCAGCCCGTTCTCCATATTGGTGGCATCATTAAGTGAGATTTCAAATCAAGGACCTCAGTGGTGCAGTGGGTAACACGTGAGCTCACGCAAAGAGTAATCGCGAATTCGACTCTTGCTTGGAGTGTAACCTTTGCAAAGTCTTTGCAAAGGCATCATAGTGAATCCTCTTACTTTTTAAAGGGTGTCAATCATCTCTTAGAGATTTTAGATCTCAATGATTAAAAAGTAAAGTAGACATTTGAAGGACGTCTGAAGCAACATAGTAAACCACTTTAAAGATATTTATGTCTTCCGTTTTCCTCTCCTAATTATTTATCGTTGGTAGCACAGTGTTCGAAATGCCATTCAATTATACGTGCATGGCTTCAGTTCGAGATCTCACTGCGTCAACCTGGCCTCCAGTCACTGCAAGTTGGGAAAAGTTGTGCCAGAATTGCTTGAGGTGAACTGTAGATTGCTCTCTTCCTATATATAAGAATGGGAGTGACATGTGATTTATTGCGCTTCAAGATGACACGAAAGAGAACATTAAAGGAATGTCTATGACATATTGTACATGGTGCGGTGTGTTGAGAACTGTGTATTTAAAATAAAAAGTTACGTCACGAAATACGTATGTAAAAATTCTCTTCATTGCCACACTCGATGTGACTGCACGCACCCTTTTCGTATACGGCGCAGAATTAAACGTGGCTATTTAAAAAGTAGGTGTGTAACCGCTGATGCCCGGATGATCCTTGGTGGTCCAAGGTGCAGGCTTCAAACCTGTAGGCGGTTAGCAGCCGCAGTGGTTCGATTCCACCCTCCGGGTGTCCGCTTTTGTCTTCGTTTGCGGACGGTTGGTAATGATGGCAGTGTGCTGCATACATGCTAGATATTTGAGAGCGGCTGGTCCATCTTACGCGTTTTAAGTCCCAGGGATAAAAGTCATTGTTGAATGTTAAACGCCACGCAAGCATTCAAAGGTTCTGATTATTCGGACTTTCTTTCCTTGATTTCAAAATGTATGCGTTATAAATGTCCATAGTTTTTCAATAATTTTGTTTGTTTCCTGTTTTTTCGCTCTTATAAGTATCTAAAAAAAAAAGTATCTAAAATTAGTATCTATCTAAAATTGAAATCTGCAAAAATGAAAGGAGAAAAAGAAAACGAAAACTAAAATGAAAGGAGAAAAAGAAAACGAAAACTAAAATAAAACTTACTATATTACTGGTATATGCGACAGCTCCAACTGCATTGAAAATTTGTGCAAATTTTCAATGCAGTTGGAGCTGTCGCATATACCAGTAATATAGTAAGGACAGGCAGGCTGCGGTGCCTTCCTAGATAAAATCGCGGGTGTTCTATGACTGGCGCTCGAAATAGAGCCTTGGCGAGTGAAAGAAAGAAAAGAAAGCGGAAAAAGTAGGAGTCACAATGTTAGCCTTTTCTTTCCTTCCGACTATAAGGGTATGATATGTATTACAACCACAACGATGCTGAGATATTCGTGAAACTTGGACACGTGGCCTAAACTACCCGAGACAAACGCAGAGTAAAGGCCTCCGTGGTGCACTATGTAATACGCGAGCCTCCGAAAAGGAAAATCGTGATTCGATCTAGCCCAGGGACCAAGTTTTGAGTCGAAAAATTGTGGTCGAAAAAGTAGGCTCTAAATAATCAAAGTTTTACCACCGTAGATTTCAGTTTCGTTCATGCTGGATTAAAAGCTCATAAATTATCCAGAATTGGGTTTACATATTGCAATTCTGATTGACATAGGTCAATGAAAAATTCCGGAATATTATTTTGATGTGAAATATTGGTCAATAACAATTTGACGACGGGTTTTATGATATAACATCGACCATGCGTTCAGTAAAATGCAGTTCGTGAGGAAATATTGACCAATTTCAACTTTGAGCCAGCATATCTCTGCTAGCAGTAGATCTTACTATTTGAAATGGGAACAAATGCTTTCTAAAGATATCCCTGCAGACCAGCGGTATCCCCACACAACAGAAACCCTCTTATCTTACCACTATCACTATGTGGTTTGTTTCTCGTAAGACAGGGAACGTATCGTTTCCGGTTTTTTTCTTCTCGGCAATGTTTCTAGCAGCGGGAAGAAACAAAAGAACTTTCATCCAATAGAATGAATAAGAACAGCAGTGTACTTAAATGCACTACTGGTGTTTCTGGTACTTTTTGGGATTTTTAACTGCAAGTAAACTAGAGGGCTATTCGTCACAGAACAGTGACTCTTCTACAAATCCATGAAGCTCCAAACCTCCCAAGCTTTCTAGTTATCATGAAATTGTCGCCAGTTCTCGAGAAACTATCAAAGAGATAGCGCCCTATGTATCAAGTTTCTCCTTAGAATCTTGGCCTTATAAGAAAGTTCTTCGGAGATAGAACATTAAAAGTTGGCAATTATAATGGGCAAAGAGTTTGTTATAATATTAATGTAATGTTAATAATGGTTTGTCCTAACTCTTGGCTAAAAAAAGTTACATAGTGATTGCTGTTTGTATTAAGTTGATTATACGATCGCCGGTTATTAGTAGTAAACCAGTTAAATGTCATCGTTAGGTCGACTGTTGTTGGTACAATTTATCATATAACCAACTAGTCGCCTCTCGACAGGCGGCTATTTAAGCGGCATTTGTTAAGATTGGGTACATCTTCCACAAGTGATTCCATCGCTTCGATCAAGTCTGTCCATTTGGCGTCTGCCCATAAACATCAGTCTTTTAACTTGCTTGTTACGTCCTTAGTTTCATTCCAAACATCTCACTATCTGGAACCAAGGATTTTCTGAATAGCTTTTGTTGGAAACCTTTATGCTAAGGCGCACTCCATTGAATTTCCTAAATATTTTAGCAGAGAAAGGGTTAAAGGATAGAGCTCTTATTCCTTCCCTGAAGAATGCTTCATGAATTTGCCTTCATTATCGTTGGAGGTGATTGAATGCATACCTGGCCTTTACTGAATATCTGTACCCTTAGTACATATACTCCAAATCTCGTCGTGGTCTACCGATGTATCGAGCCAATGCTGCTATCCTCCCAGACAAATCTAGTATCAGTTTTCCGACCTCGGAGGGATGGATGGCTTGGTGGACTTGGGTTGTATCTAACCCACATGCCTTTTTGGGCTCATCTAGCCACTACGCTACGCATGTCTCATTATTTCAGCAAGGAACCACCTATTCATGCTTGAAAGATTTTTCGCATCTTTCTATATGTTGCAACAGAGCAGCGGTTTGCGAGAACTATCTGCTAAGTCATCGAGAATTAAATGGAACAGATATGTTATGTGTTGGAACGATAACTGATAGATTGACAAGATCTGTCCGTCAGCAGCAAGTTATGTCGAATGTCAAGTTGAGAACAAGGATATCCAACAATCCGATTCCTGATCTTCTCTATAGAGATCCTAAACGAGAAACGTGATGTTCCTTGCGCTCTTCGACAGAATGCAATCTACTCGGAAATTCCAGTTCTCCTTATGGATGAGTGGAGACTTCAATGGTGGTAACATCGCTGAAAGTAAATGCTATGCGTGATCCATATTTTCGATCTCACATTAAACAATTTTCGAATATTGCCCTAATTTTTGAGGGTATACAGTCTTTAAGGCCATATAGTTCTCACTTTGGATGTAGAATTTTCTTTAAAGGAAAAATCTTTTGACCCACGTCTTTTAACTACTTTTACCTGAGTTGGGATACGTGTAGTGCAGCGGTTAGTGGCCCACTGAAAGGTCCGATCAACGTCGAGAGCTTTATCTTTCATACTTTATGCTTACCTTAATAAGCTTATTTCACTGCTTTTGAAGATTAGAAATCTGTGCACTTTCTACTCGAAGGGAATTACGCTTAGTATTCTTACACTGAAAATGTGTATACATCAAGTTGTTGACTCAGTGTCTCTTTCTCTTGTTGTCGTTTCGTAATAGGTGTTAATTGTTGAAGTGATTGAGTGATGAGTGATGCTTTTTTTTTGTGCAATTCCGTTCTCTCTACTCGTGTCGTTTAATTCTCGTCGTTAAGGACTTATCGCTGGTAAGAGAAAATCAGTAAAATGACGAACGACTTTCAGTATGAACATACAGCGCTCTGTTCTGACGACAACCTGCGGCATTTCAGCAGCGGGAATCGTCGTTGCCTTATGTGTGACCGTATCCCTTGTCGGTGAAATGAAATCGTTCTATGGGGATGTAATCGTCGAACTGCAGGAATTCAATGTTCGTTTGACGAAAAATTCGTAAAATTACTCCAATCTCAGGTTTCATTTGAGTGCTAGACTTTTTCTCTCGTTTTTGAATGACCGAAAGTGAGATTAAGTAAGGTGATTTTTGTGAAAAGTCGGGTTTTCGAAATGATCTACATCAGCGTTTAAACTCTCGTCCGCAAATTTTTCTTGCTCGTTACCGGCTTTTTATTCATTCAGGGATATGCCGATGATGCTTGGGTGCAGATGCTCAAGACAACGTCAGGTGGTGATCGGCATCCATCGGTAGAGGTGACTATGTCAAGAGTTCGTCGTGAATATCAAAAACCACCGACTGGAATTCATGCAGTGAAATCGGAAGCCGATGAGGAAGAGGCTGCGGATAGATGCAGTTTGTTTTTTAGCCTGGAAAGATTTTTATCCCTGCCACAATCGTCATTTGATTTCAAATTCCTTTAGAATGCGCTGCCAGAGCTCAAAATTGCCCTACCGGACCACCAGGACCAGCTGGAGAACCAGGAATGCCTGGAGGTTAAGACTAATTTAACTAATTTGTTCCTTACTCAAACTTAGCTTAATTTTTGACAACCACTAATAGGGTCTGTAAGATGTATATTAGTACGTTTTAGTCTACTGTACGTTTAAGCAACTTAGAAGAGGTTATTTTATAAAAGACGAAGTCTGAGCAATAAGAGATAGTGCAATCATCTCATCGATTCATAAATTCTTGTTTTATTAATGTATAGTGTGATAATGGAGAGAATCCGCTTTAATGGCAGCTACCTGTTTTGCAGAGGATGGCGAAAAAGGGGAAGACGGTAAACCCGGTCTGACAGGGCTGCAAGGAGTCGCTAACGATATTTCCGGCGGTGGTTGCATAAAGTGTTCAGAAGGGCCACCAGGTCCACCGGGACCAACTGGAATAGCAGGCCCCGAAGGGCCTACTGGAAGTCCCGGAATCGTTAGTCATGAATTCCAGCTTATTACTGTGCTAATTTAAAAAAAAAAACTTATACAAAACACATATCAGCAAATTTATCATAGTCAACGCCGTCAATGTATGATTCACTGAATGTGGTATTTCGTATATCTAGGAGGGAAAAATTAGTTTATAAGTGTTAGCAATTGTTAGCTAATTTGATAGAAAACGTCTTAGCGTTTATGCCACTGTATATGTAAATTTTTCAAGAGTTCGAAATTCATATATTCATATTCATTCTGAATCGGTAATATTTTAAACCTTCTCTCTCGTTTTCTTTGAACCTGTTAGATATAGATTTATGTTTTTTAAGGACGGTGCTGTTGGAAAAATTGGTGAACCTGGAGCACCAGGACCAGTTGGCCCACCGGGACCAGATGGTAAGCCTGGGAGCGATGGAGCACCGGGAGAAGCCGGTTTGTTTTATTTGCCTACAACTGCGTGTATGACCCGATGGAAAAAAAATATTGGTACTTTAGGAGATGCTGGAACGAAATCAACGAATGAACCCGGTCCTCCTGGACTATCTGGACCACCAGGGCCACCTGGATCTGATGGAGAGGTAATTTTTTTTAAAGATATTCCTATAAAACTACGACGTCTTACGTGTTTCACAATTTTAGGCTGGCACTAGTGGAGTTGAGGCTATTCCTGGCTCTGTCGGACCGCCTGGACCACCCGGAAAGGACGGCGTCCCGGGTATTGCGGGGCCACCTGGTGAGATGGGAGCAGCTGGTCCACCTGGGCCTGATGCCGCTTACTGCCCTTGCCCGGCTAGATCTATGACACTGGTTGGCGAAGTGACTCACATGGAAGAACACCCAACAATCGTTTCCGGAACAGAATCTGAAAAAGGCGGTGTTCCACCAATGCTTGAAAAAAATGCAACGCTCGCTGCCATACCAAAAGTGTCTGTCGAAGAAACTAAGCCAAGTGGTGGTGGTGTGAGTCCTAGTGGTGGAGGCGTAGAAGGAAAGGGTGAAGCAGAAGCCGAGCAGCCCACAGAAGGCGCTGTCACCACAGAGAAAGAAGAACTGAGTACTGCTGCTGCAAGCACAGCAGCAGTAGGAGGTGAGGAAGCTGAGCATCCCATAGAAAGTGCTAGCACAATAGGAAAGGAAGATACGACGATTGGTGGTTTCAGTGTAGCAGCAAAGGATGGTGTTGAAAAAGGTGAAGAATATGAAAAAGGAAACGTTACCATCACTTATTTAACAAGTGTAGCTCCAGGAGGTCCGGTAGATCAAGCAGGTCCAGCAGTTCCAGCAGGTCCATCAGGTCCGGCGGAACAAGTAACAGTAGCGCCACCACCATCGCCACCAACGGTGCCTTCCCCGGCTTATCCCACACCCAACGCTCGACTACAACGATTTTTAAAACGACTTCACTAAGATATTTGTTATATATTTATTCAATTGTATTCAAGCAATATAAGCATTATATAAGATAAATTTTTACTAAGCTGTAGTTCTTCGGAACATTTGGTGTCTTGAAAACTGGGAACCTATGAGTGAAAAAGAATTCCTAACATCTTTCTTTTGGTAACAAGGACGCTTAGAGCGGTGAAGGTAATGTAATACTAAAGAGTATAATTTCTGGCCAACAAGACAACTCATTCATTTATTTCGCGCGAATAAAACTGCTCTCGGGTGAGGTGGATTGTGCGAGTGATTAGTGATGCCGGCCATTAAAAGGCAACGTCTTCGTTCAACCCCGTCCCCAACTCTCTCCTCTAGTCCACGTGGTAACGCCTTAATTCAGATATTTTTATGACTGCAAGGTGAATTAACTCGACCAGCATTCTGCGACATTCATAAAGGAACTGAAATCCTCAGGCAGCAGCCGAAACAACACACAAAATATCCAAAGACCTTTAGGCGTAATGAATCCGAGAAAAACAAATCGATGCAAGAACTACTGGGAACCGTTCAGTGGATGTAGTGATGAGTCATCTGAAAAAATGAATTAAATAATTAGCTGTAATTCTTGGTGATCAAATATGAGGTTGTTATTGCAGCAATTACTAATTCATAATAGCTGATGTTTCGTCGGTTGTGCCTTCTTCAGACTCTGAAAGGGAAAAATTGACATTAAATCTACTTAGTCAAACGCTTTCGTAACCGAAAGCGGATAAGACATAACACACAAATTTTTTCATTCGCGTAATAAACTGCTTCTTAAATCATCCACCATTTTGCCCGTTGTAAGCCTACCAGTGATTTAATGGAGACCAACTGCACAAAATCGTACATGGGTTGGGAATGTGATTGGTGCATGTCAGAGAGGCAGTCTTCCAGTTCTCAGCACGTAGGAATCAGCGCAGAAAGTTCTTGAAGCGCTTTGGATAAATTCCAGAAATCAATGAACGAACGACTAGGCGTAGTGCCTTGTGATCTCGCGCCATATCTCAGATCGATACTGAAGGACTTGAGAACAACAAAACAATGAATGCTATACCTTTTTATTTTCTGCCTACTATAATTTCGCGGCAGGGTACTAAGCGAAATACAACCACAACGTTGCTGAGATATTTGCAAAGCTCGGGACCGCAGGTGTCTATGGTGGGGAACGAACGCGCTATTGTCCTTTCCGGGGAGTAACGCGTTCACCACCACACCATGCGGGCCCTTCGTTTCGCCTGTCTCTCAGCTATTTCTATTGATCTTTGCCACAGCAATCACCCGTCAGCAGGATTGATCTGGGGCGCCCAAATCGGCATAGAACCCAGTTAAGCTGCGGCTGTAGTTGAAATCACAATGTTATACCTTTAGACATACTATACCACTTTAGACACCTGAGGTCCAGAGTTTTGCAAATATCTCAGCAACGTTGTGGTTGTATTTCGCTTAAAACAATGAATGTTTAAGAAAGCCTGTTCACTATGCAAGTAAGCATTTATGTATTAAATTCTACCTACTGAGTTGTTTCACTGAAGGTATGGCATGTCAATTTGCCCCAACCAAGCTTTGAAGGAGGAGAAGCCGCCGAAACGTCAGCCAGTATAATAGTACTGAATAAAATCTGTTGTTAACAATTTCGTGTCTACAACCATAGCGATGCTGAGATATCGCATAATTTGGACTCCGGGCAATTGTGATTTGAACTACAGCCTTAGTTTAACCGGCTTCAATGCCGATTTGTGCTTCTCAGATCAATCCCTCTGACGGTTGCTTGCTGATGGGTGTTAGGTAGAAAACCAGCTAAGAGAAACGCAGAGCAAGGGCATCCGTGGCGCAGTGTGCAATGCCCGAGCACCCAGGGAGGAAAATCGTGGTTTGATGTGACTCGGGATCCCAGTTTTGAGAATAGAGAACATCGTTGTGGCAATTCACATCATAACCTGCCGTGAAAGTTTATAGCAGGCAGAAATTAAAAGGTTAACATTTTAATCCCGTGTCTGCTCATTGAGAGAACATGTCTTATTGATCAATGTCAAAGTTGAAAGGAGGCGGTCCTGAGATTTGCTGCATGAAATAAAGTAACAATTTTATTTGGTGGTGTTGGAATGATCCAAAAATGCTGTTAAGATGGAGGTGTTTGATGAAAATTTCACAAGAGCTTCCAGTTCTGCTTGAACGTGAACCGGTCGCGGTGATGTGAGCCATGTCCATGTGAGATTTGCTATGGATTTTTTAAAGAATCCACGACGATAAATACAGAATTAATCCAAATTTCCCGATAAATATTAGCCGGATTTAAGCCCTCACTACAGTAGTAGTTTAAAAACTGTTCCTTCAAGTGTGTTTATTTATTTTACTTTAGTTTATTTACTTTATATGACCAGTCTTCACTTCTACTGTGCGAAACTCAGCACTTCTCATATTCGTCTCTTTTCTCACATCTATCATTGACAAAGGTCTTTCAAAGTTTAGGTGTGGATTCGGCTGTTGCTTGATGATTTTCACTTCATCTTGAATGTCGCAGAGTGTTGGTCGAGTCGATTCTCTATGAAGTCCAGAGATGACCGGACTGGAGCATTCCCATTTGTATTGCAGGGAGTGATGTTTTCCCAGACAAGTCCGGCACCAATTTCTCGTTCTCGAAGGGATGAGTGGCTTAATGAGCTAGGACCAGAACCGAACTAGCACAGTGATCGTGATGGTCAGCATCACTACCAATATGCAATACACTGCCTTTTATACTCGTCGGAAAATTTAAAGAAGCCAATCAAGCACGAAACTTTTTAAATCGAAGGCTATATCAACAAATGCTCTAATATTCGATTCGAGTCAGATCTGAGAGTACTCAACAACACGGAAATAAGGCATTCAACCAACGACCCGCTATCTTAGAATTCTGGAATTCTCTTACAAACGTTCGAGTATTCGACATTATAGAGAATAATTCACTGAGATTCTAAATAAGACCTTGGGCGAAATTCATTACTTCTTCTTCATCTTTATTCCCATTTTTATCATAAATTCCGCCTCTTTCTAATTAACTCTTTGTTGATTGTGGTGTGAGAACACAATGGAAATATCGGTTACGAATTCCATCATTCCACTATTAAATGTGTCGACGTAATCGAATGAGAATTTCGTCATTAATCTCTGATCGCAGTTTATCCTTTCATAAAATCTACGACTATCCCAGAACATTGTTAGAACTTCCTTCTCACTTGGCCATTTGTCATGTTGACCATCTGTGAGTGTAGGAAACCATGTAGTGCAGTGGTTAGAGCTTTCCTGCACATGTTCTCACTTCTATCTCGTACTATGAACCAACCACTCTTTTTATTTTCTCGGGGTCAAAAAACTGGTCAGATCTCTCTAGGAGATGAAAACACTGACTTACATTTGTAAGCTTTTGTAAGTCGTCAAATACGCATCGAATCACTTCTGCAAGGATAAGGGTGCAGTCTAATGCATCCCGCACCTTTAATCATGTTATCGACAGACGACCAAAGTGCTCCATATCACTTTGCTTTGGTTTTTATTATTTAAATCTTCTGTTGGCCATCCAGTTACTTAAGTGGGCTCCACTAAAGCCTCCATTTGTCTCCTTGGCATGCAAGAGTAGCCCAATGCGATCTGCTCACTCTAGGTAATTGTTGATCATCATTCTTCTAGGATCTTTGTGAACAGCTGTGACCATTCGGTCGATACTCTTATTCTGTTGAAGAACACTAGAGTTTAAAATTTATAGAAGACAGATAGCAAGCAGATTCGATGATAGTTAATCATGGCGTTTAACAAGACGGTATTGTTGGTCTTCCATTGATTAGGTACCAAGCATTCTGACGGTTCACGTGAAGAGGCGCGTTTAGTGCTGGTAGGCGCCTTGCACTACACTTGGGTTCGATCCCGCACACAGGCTCATTAAACCTTCTATCCTTCTGGGGTTGAAAAATTGGTGCAAGACTTGTCTACGAAGAAAAGCAGGCTCGATGCATCGACACCCCCTTCCCCAACAACGCTCAATAATGTGGAATGCGTGACACATCCTCCAAGGATTGATCAAAGCTTAGATTTTTATTCTTCATCCTTCAAGAAATTTTTAATCCTTTCCAATTTCAGACGTTATCTGAACGCGTAGATAGTTTTTAGTGTAATTTGTTGGAAATATTAATTGAGGCTATTATCTCTCAACTAGTTTTCTAACTACCAGTACTATCAGCAATCATCCGTCAGCGGGATTGATCTGGAGAGCCGACTTCGGTATTGTACCCAATTAAGCTAAGGCTGCAGTCGAAATAGAAAAAAAGGTAAATAGAAAAGTAAATATTATGACTTCGGCAAATAAAGATGTAAGCATTGTAATTTCGGTAGATAAAGAAGTAAACATTGTGGTTTCGGCAGCTCAATGCAGCTCAATGTCGGGTGATCGCTGATGGGACTGGTAGATAGAAAACCATCTGAGAGAAAAGTAGATTAAGGGACACTGTGGTGCATTCTGTAATGCACGAACGCCAGGAAAGGGAATCGTGGTTTGATCTGGCCCGCCGTTCAATTTTTGCGAATATCTCAGCATCTTCATGGTTGATCTCGCATATTGCACTGCCATGAAAATTGTAGTAGGCAGTAAGTGAAAAAGTGAACATTTGAGCTATTATATTTGTCTCCTCGTCATCTCTATCTTCGTGTATCGGAAACGAATCCTCGATATCGGCCTTAACAATAACAGTAAGCTATTTTTGTGAGGTTCATGGATCTTCTTCCTCCAAGATATAGGAGTGAATATGGCGAATACCTTGAATGATGTTCTTCTCGACGTCATTCTTTTAAACAATGTTTGCTAAGAACAGTTGGAGTGTGTTATGTATAAATCATATCATATGTGTGACAATTAAGCCCTCAAATGTTCTCGTCTGTTATCTTTCATGGCACTAGTGGGCCTGTGAAACCGCTCTCGTCAACGGTTGTTGTCCATTACCTGGTTCTGTTCCAAGGTTCCAACAGAACAAGCTCCTGAGACTGAGGAGATGAAGAACATCAGCTGCGACGTTGTGAACTGAATATTGGATGGCTTGATTCGGCGTAAGCAGAATCCACTAGCCGAGTTTTCTTTAACAAAAGTATTTTTGACAACAAATCACAAATTATTTTAACAGCCTTTCAAACATTGCTAGCAGTTTTTCATACCGTAACAGTTGATAGGTGTTCCCGGGCGTTTGGTTGAAACTATGGTGTGCACCAGGTATCTGTCTAGCGGTGGTGAAGCTGTGAAAGAATTCGAGATTCTTAAGCCTTGCTAGGAGTAAAATAAAATAAAAGGACAAAGGATAAAGCTCTAGGCGTTGATCAATCCCTGAGGGATGCGCCATGCATTCGACTTCATTAAGTATCGTTGGAGGTGACTGAATGCATATCTGGCCTTTAGAATGACTCGCGGTGGCCTATCGATGTATTGAGCCAGTGCTGTTATCCTCTCAGGGAAGTTTGATACGAATTTGCCAACCTCGGAGGGATGAAAGGCTTGGTGAGCCATGGGCGCGGGAATAAATTCCACGTGTGTGTCACAGTGGCGCCTCCAACCACTGCGCCGCACGCGTCTTTCTAGGAGTAAAATAGTCCCAAAAATTTTGTTCGTTGAAGAGCAATCCAAACTAATATTGTTGTGCGAATCATTGCACTTTTTTTGTGGGATACAAGTTACTAGGATCAGTAACTTTAAGGATGTTTTTGATCCATGTTTCTGTACTACTCCTGTTTATGGGCAAGAATAAGGGCATGTGTTTACGAGCAAATAGCAGTTTAGTTTGGAATGGTTGTACTATTTGGGTAAGTAAATATTTTTACTCTATTGTTTAACCACCTCTTGACTAATGATATGGAGCTTTTTACTATCTTTTTAAACAACTAAGTTTTGGAAAGTAAAGAATATGTGGGCTCAGAAACGCAGAAACAATCAAATTAGTAACCTATACACTTATTTAGACACCCCTTCTCCATTTATCATCCACGAACTAGCAGCTCATCCAGTCACATTAGTGTGGAGGTTGAAGGTTGAAGCTCGGTCCCTTAAATAGCTGATGAAAAGTGGTTTTCCCAGAAACTCAAAGAAACAAAATCCTAAAGTGGCCTCTCGTCATCGTTATAGGCAGCAACTGGCCCATTCCTTGGGCTGGAAAAAGATTTCCTAATTTGTGATTAGGATTCGTGCACAGCGACCGAATGCTACAGTTAGTCTGCTGAAAAGTTGGTACGGTTGAAAACTCATAACAAGCGACTCTATAGAAAGCGAAATCGACCGAATTGTTACCCTGCTTAGATATTTGGAAGGTCCGCCTTCACTGGTTGTGCGGGCTCCAGCACAATGTCCACTTCGTCGGAGTTTTGGTGGCTTATCTACTGTGGTTTCCCGGTGCCTTGGGGTCAACCAGTCCAAAGTCTCTCCTAGGTCCTCACCACCACAAGCAGTCGCAGCCTTTGTGGATTAGAGGAAGATTTGCGACTAGTTTGATACCAGGGCGGTGGCACGACCTATATCACTTGTAGACCCGTTGATCGTCGAGTGACTCGAGCGGGCACCAGTAAACCTTCTATTTTTCCCTGTCGAGTGCAAGAGTAGTCCAGTGGGTTCCGCTGGCTCTAAGGACTCGTCGAGCATCATATCTTTCTTCTAGGCTCTTCGTGAAGAACTCTGACTATCGGGTCGGTGGTCTTCCTGCAGTACGTTTGACATCCCGAAAAATCCAGTCGCTAACGGCTCCTGTCCATCGTTCTCGTTCATACGCATTACGTTTCCGGCCCACCTTATCTTCGACTGTTTGGCGTACAGAACGGCATCTTTCTATTTTGGTCGTTGATGCTGGTCGGAGCTTCGCATCCTTTCCCTTACCCTTGAGTGACAAGTGGCACTCTTAGTATCGCCCGCGCGTTCGATAGCGCTGAGTGATCTTTCATCTTGCTTACGCAGCGACCACGTTTCTGACACATACGTTAGGGCCGGAAGTACCGTTGAGTCGAAAAGGCGGGCACGGAGTAGGGTATTCTTTGTTCTCTTCACTACATCCTCGATGCTCTTGAAAGCTCTCCAAGCCGCTCGTTTCCTCCTGCTCAGCTCTAGAGCTAGGTCGTTCATCACATTGATTGCCCGACCTAGATAGATATAACTTGAGCACTCAGAGATATTCGTTCCGTTGAGCATGAATGCGACATACGAAAGCAATCCGTTGCTCATAAACATTGTTTCTGTGAGATTTATTCGAAGACCAGTGTTTCCACAGGCTTTATCAAAGTCGGCAAGCAAACGTTTTGCTTGGCTAATGGTTGGGGTTATAAGGACGATGTCATCAGCAAGACTAAAATGGTTTAATTGCCGACCATCGATTTTCACTCTCACATTATCCTATTCCAGTATTCGCATGACGTTCTAGAGGGGCGGTAAATAATTTTGGCGAGATGGCATCGCCTTGCCTAACCCCTCTTCTGACGTCGATGTTAATATCGTTGTAGAATGTTGATATCTTGGTTGTGAAATTTTTGTACAGCTCACGAAGAATCTTTATGTACTGAGTAGGGACCCCTTCACTATCACGGGCTTCCATCTGTTTCTATCTCAATTGGCTTCTGTAAATCGATGAAAGTGAGACAGAGCGGTCTTTTGTACTCTCGCGATACTTCAGTGAGCCTTGTTACCGTGTGGATGTGGTCCATCGTACTAAATCCTCTTCGAACACTGCTTGCCCACATGGCTTTCCTTCGTCTAGTGTTCTGTTAATCCTGTTTAGGATGACTCGAGTGAAAAGTTTGTAGACGACAGACAGTAAGCAGATTGGGCGATAGTTGCCGATAACGTGTAGGTCATCCTTCTTGAACAATAACACGGTCTTGCTGGTTTTCCACTGAGTAGAGACCTTGCATTCAGGCAGGTAACGTGTGAAGAGGAGAGCCAGTGTGTTTACGAGGACTGGCGGAAGGTTTTTCAGGTGTTCTGGTCTTATCCTGTCCGGACCTAGTGCTGTTCGATTTTTCACCGACGAAATGGCATGTTAGATTTCGGAAGGGAAACCGGTGGTACAACATATCCATCCTCCTTTATTTCGCATGACGGAAGGTGGTCGTGGCTATCGAAGAGATTTGAGTAATATTCGTGAATTTTGGACGCTGTAACTGTTCCGTCTGGGCGATGCAGTGCAATTATCTTGGTCATGTAATTGGCGTAACACTGGTGCTCTGAATGAGCGAACTGCTGGGTTTTGCCAACGCTTTTCTCAACCTCTGCAGCTTCGACCATTACTGCTGCTATTCTCTCTTTAAAACCTTCTTTTATCGCCTGTCTGCATTGCTTTGCAAGTTCGGACGTTAGTTCGCGGTTGCCTGCAGCTCGTGCGATTCCAAGTTGGCGTATCAGCGCGAGTGTTTTTGCAGGCAGACGTCTCTTGGTGACTTTCGAACTCCCAGCTTTCGTAGCGCTAACGTGAAGATGTTGAATGAGCCGATCGTATTCCTCGTCGCTATTATCGACAACGGCGTCTTTCGCTGCCTGGGACACTGCCACAGTGACAATTTGTGCCTCCCAGATCAATCCCGTTGACGGGTGATTAGTGGTGGCACTAGATCGAAAACTATCTGAGAGACAGAAGAAACGAAAGGCCCACAAGGCGTGATAGTGAACGCCTTAGCTTCGGAAATGGTAATAGGGTGTCCGATACTGAGATATTTGTAAAACTTAGACCTCAGGCCGGATTCGAACCCGCGATTACTCATTCCAAGGGCTCACGTGTTACCCGCTGTACCACTTATGCCTTTCTCCCGGCCATCTCCGCATCACTGTAGTTGTGTTTCCCTACCATGAAGGAAATAATAGAGAGTAAATAAAAAGTTATATATTATCGAAATTTGTGTGTTTTGTATTCTCTCAGACAAATCTGGTACCAGTTTCCTCGCCAACAGTGAACTAGAGGAGCTCGTGTTGGCTAGGGACGCTGGATGCAACTGGTGGCTTTGCGTGCATTGCAAAGCACCACTAATCCCGTACCATCCACGTCCCTCGATATGCAAACTATAAAATAGTCTATCTTATAGAAGTTTTTAAAAATGATTTTAACTGTAACTGCCACGACCGACTTTCTATTAACCTCGGCATTGATCAAGTAATTTTCTTCGTATTTTTGTTGAGCAAACGCAAGGTGTTATTATTCTTTGTTCACGATTAAGCTGACGTTTCGGCGGATTTCTCCTTCCTCAGAGCCTGGAAAGGTCAAGTTGATAGCAATCTACTCGGCCAGACGCCTCCATAACCAAACAAAGAAACCCCAAACCAAGATTTCAATCACTTTGAACACAGCTTTGCACACTCACCACTTTCTATGTGGTTTCCACTAAGTATGTCACGTAGTGACCAACCGCACAGAAATCACGTGGAAGTATAATGTGCCTCTCACATCAGAAAAGCAGTTTTATATACTGCCCTATATCACGCGTGATAATGAGGCATTCTTCCCTGCGGTTCATCTTCGGATTTCTGGAATTAATCCAGAGTGCCTCGAGAGTTTTTCGCGCCTGTGTTCTTGATTCGCGTGCGAGGATCGTGACACATACTTCGAAGTCGTACCCGTTATGTCTCTGGGTCCTATGCGTGCCTAGCGGGGTATTTGGTCTATTTTTGCTGGTTAGGTGTTCTTTCATGCGGACACAGAGGGGTCTACCCGTTTCGTCAATGTATTCGTCACCACACGTCTTACAGGAAATCAGATAAACTATACCCGAGCTCATGCAATCACCGTCTCTACCACTGAGGCAAATTATGCAATTTTGAGTTGCACATAGACGGTCATATAGGCAGTTGCGAACTAGCTGGCGCTTAAGATTACTCGGTGGTATTTCAACTACGCTCACCGAATTCTCTAAGCCCGCCCTTTTTAAGCAGCGTTTTATAGCTGTACTTATATCATTTGAGATGAAGGGTAGGATAAACGGGACCCTTTTATCGCTAGAGTTGTCGTTTGGAGGCCTACGATTTCCTCTACACCTATCCTGAGCTACAGTTTCGTAGCCATTAGAAATGGCTATTTGCCGTGCCAAGTTCCGGGACTCCTCTCTCTGCTCTCTTCCCATGCACACGTTGGTTGCCGTTCGAAACATGTTTCTTATAAGCGTCCTTTTCGTGTGAGAGGGGTGAGAGGAGAGGTAATGAACCAAGATGTTTTTACCACTTGGCTTTTGGTACCACTTTGTAATGTAGCCATTTTCTGATAGATGAATTTGTACGTTCAAAAATGGAAGCCATTTTTCTTTCGGCTTTTCTCGGGTGAACTTGATATACTCTGACTGTGCGTTTAACAATTCGAAGCATTTGTCCATTTCCTCTTGTGTTGAGCAAAGGACAAAGCAGTCGTCTACATACCTACAGTAGAGTAGCGGCCCGAGATCAGACACCGGTGCTTCCACCTTAGACATAAATGCAATGGCAAGGCTTGGAGCCAGTCGTTGCCCCATTGCCAACCCTCTTATTTGAGCGTAGTACTTTCCAGACCATCTGAAGATTGAGCAGCGCAAGCATTCTTTTAAGAGTGTCATCAGGCGCTCTTTCCTGAAGCCATACATGTTTGTTTCTCCTTCGTGTTGTGTAAGGAGTTCGAATATGGCTTGCATTGCGGAGTCATTCGACACGTTTGTATAAAGGGCGGCAACGTCGAAGGACTCCATCACGCACGCGCTGTTGGGCTGCGCAGTACGTAGACGATCCAGAAACATCTGGGTATTCGTAAGATGGGCTGGAATTTGTTTCAACAACTGGTTAAATATTAGGGTTAAAAACCATGTTATCCTGTCCATTGGCCCGTCTACGCAGCTAATGATATGTCTAACCTTAAATAGTGATGGATCGTTAGACGCAAGATCATCGCTGGATACCAACTTATGAGTTTTTATAAGTAAGTACAAGACGGGGCATGTTGGTAAGTCAACTTTAAGTTTGCATCTTGATGCATCTTGAAGATGTTTCGCTTTATCGCTCATCATCTGAGGAGGAATTCAAAAGTAAATACCGAAAACTAAACCACGAATGGGCCAAAATGGCAAGGGCTGCTGTTTTAAAACCATCAGTTATCTCTCTCTCTATCACTGTAGTTGTGTTTCCCTACCATGAAAGAAATAATAGAGAGTAAATAAAAAGTTATATATTATCGAAATTTGTGTGTTTTGTATTCTCTCAGACAAATCTGGTACCAGTTTCCTCGCCAACAGTGAACTAGAGGAGCTCGTGTTGGCTAGGGACGCTGGATGCAAATGGTGGCTTTGCGTGCATTGCAAAGCACCACTAATCCCGTACCATCCACGTCCCTCGATATGCAAATTATAAAATAGTCTATCTTATAGAAGTTTTTTTAAAAATGATTTTAACTGTTTTCGCAGAATTTTTAATTTTCGGTTTTACCTTATGGAACATGTGGCTCTGTGGTGCGCCCTGCAACAGACGTGGAATCCGTTCCCCTGCGCCCATGGCCCACCAAGCTTTCCATCCTTCCGTAGTCGGTGAATTGACTTGTCTTGGAAGATAGCAACACTGGCTCAATACATCAGTAGGCCATCGCGACTCATTGCAAAAAGCCAGATATGCACTCAATCACCTCCAAACGTTGCTTAATAAAGTAGAATGTGTGGCGCATCCCTCAGAGATTGATCAACACCGAAAACTTTATCGCTTATCCTTTACATTATTGAAGGTTCGGGTGGGTACCGTATTGTCGTAGTGATTGGTTCGATTTATCAGTTACGGTGCTGATTTGATTCTCTCACTAACCGGGTTCACCAACTCTCTCGTTCCTTTGGGGTCAAGAAATTCGTACCAGACTTGCCTCGGAAAAGTTTGCTGTCTGAAATCCAAGTACGAGTGCTCATGTCCTGCTCTCTGAGGGGTTCAGAAAGATTCGATCGGAGAAGCATTCAACGGCATCCATGATGAAGACGAGAATCAGCAGCGACCGAACTCACACGCAGAAAGTTGAAGGTCCTTTGTGGACGGTGAATGCGAGGAACGAATCGAGTGCAAGAAGTGTTTGGTTTCTCAGACTAGTTGTTAAGAAAGGAAGTGTAAAATCAAAAAATGTTTATTGGCAGCTCATACAATTCCTTTATGAGCACAGTTAGACTTTCGCTCAATTTCCTTGGATGATGGTTTCTTAAGAAGAATATTGATTTTGCTGATATATTCAGTTTGCTCATCACTGGATTTTGAATTTCATTTAGATAATGCTTCGAAAAAATTCGTATTTAGTGGGATCGCAGATGTTTCTGCCACTGAAATCTTATCCAGTTGTCATTTTGTGAAATGCTTTGTTCTTCATTCATAAAGATGTCAAGTCAATCTACGTCTTACCCCTACTAATAGAAAAACATCTGCCATTTGCTCCATTTGAATGCCATTTATCATAAGCCTATGAATCATCAAACGAATGATAGTTTGGCGCCGGTGATACGTTTACCAAAGTTTGATAACTGTCCATAAGCGCTTGTCTACCGTTTAGTCGGCGAAATTTCTGGGGCATGCCGAAGAACCCTTGGAATAACTTGACTGTCCATAAATTTCGCTACATATGGTTTACCTGTGTTCTTGATTTGAAACTGCGCTCAGGCAAAGTTGCTTCCAGCACCAAAGCGTTACGATCTCGGCTAGAGCTCTTTCTTTGACATTATGAGAAGAGTCATCGTGATATCGAAGAAGTAGAGGCACTCAATGTATTTGCTATAGCGATTTCCGCAGACGAAATTGGTTTTTCCAACCCTTTTCCAAACATCCAAACGCAGTTTTTTTTTGCTCTAACTTTTGTTTACTGCCCACTCTTTTTTCGTAGTAATGTACGATGTGAAATACACATATGTAGTCCACATCATGCCCTTCCTGTTAAAAAGGAATGGACAGTAAAAAAAAAAAGTTAGAAGATTGGGATTTCGACTGCAGGTTCAGCTTAAATGGGTCCACTGCCGAGTTGTGCTTTCCTAGACCATTCTCGTTAACGGGTAAATGCTGATTGCACCGATAGAAAAAAACAGCAGAGAGAAAGCCAAAACGGGATTGGGATGGTAGATAGCAACTGAGGCCCCGGCAAGAGTAATCGCAGGTTCGAAGCCCGGCTGAGGTGCCAAGTTTTGTTCACCTCTTGGCGTCTTCATGGTTGTATAGTTTATTTCTTTGTATCGTCAAGGCCTATCCTTTTCAGAGCAGCGAATGGAGCAGTGGTTAGAGATGGCGCACTACTGCTAGACATGCGTCTGCACTGGTCATTGGTACGATTTCGCGTAACGAAGCACTTTTTTTCCTTTTTAACACAAGTAAAATTTCTTCGAAATCATATAGTTCGTACCAGAGCTGTGTATGAGGGTGAATAAAAACTAGCCGCCTCATATATTGGCTTGGATCTTCCATCCTATTCTGCAGACGATAATATGTATTCAATTATATCGATAACGCTACGAAGGGAGTAAAGTGCATGGCGGACACTAAGAAATAGAGCAACCCGTGGCAATTTATACTTTTTGCGCGTTTTTTTCGTAACTGTCTTAATTTTACAAATATTTCGTTTGATACATCCTGGTTAAATAAGGCTCTGCCCGGTTTATCGTTGCCATTAAGAACGTCAACTATGGGAAAACGGTTGGTTTTCAGTTCTTAGTGAATTTCTGTTACATCTCGCAGTGTTATCAAATTCTCATTTTTTAAACCTTTTATGGACTTTTTTTCATAAACCAAATAGTATCTAGGAAACTTGTAGAAGCGTTCATGAGGCATCTTGAGTTAACTCAGCTGTATATAAAAAGAAGTCTCGTGTAGCGCAGTGGTTGGAAGTGGTCTACATTAAACACTTAGCCATTTGTTCGATCTTGCGCTCTTGGCTCACCAAGCCTTCCATTCCAACAGTGTCGATGAAGCGGTAACGGACTTGTGTGAGAAGATAGAAATGCATTCAATCATCTTTAAAGATGTTTGATGGAGACGAATGCATTGTGCATCCGTCAAAGACCAGGGATGAACATCAAAGGCTTCATCCTCTGTCGGTTTATTTCTGCACAGGAGTTCACTGCAATTTTCTGAAGAGAAAAGTGACATGAGAAGAAAGAGCAAATTTCCTATTTGAACGAAGTGATAAGAAAGTCAACCACTATGATGCTGAGATAGTTGCAAAACTTGGACCGCTTTCCAGATTTGAACACGCGTTTATCCTTTCCAGGAGGTCGTGTGTTACCCACTGCATCACTGAAGTTCTTGTTTTGTTTTTCTCTCAGCCAATTCTTTTTTAACGGTACTATCAGCAGTCATCCTTCCGTCAGAGGTAATACTCTGAGAACGCAAACCGGAGCAGTGCGAAGCAAGGGCCTCAATGAGAAGTGGGTAAAACGCCGCAAAGAGTAATCGCGGGTTTGAATCTGGAAAGGAGTCCAAGTTTTGTGAATATCTCAGCTTCACTGTGGTTGTATTTCACGTCATACCCTGACGTAAAAAAATATTACTCATTAAACAACGAGTTAAACGTTTTGATAAGAAAATGGCCGAACTTTGTTAAATCAAACGTTGCTCCAGCAGATGCTCCGCAGTTCTCGTTTGGCGCTAGAGATCCCGTCGCTTATAGATGCCCGTCGGCTTATAGAAAAGTACACAAAGTAGTTATTGCTGTTTTTTATGAAGTAAAAAAAGACTTTGGTGACGTCTATTGCAATTGAGTGGCTGCACACCAACAACTGTTGTTATTCTGCTAAATGAACCGTTTCGTTTATCTCTTTCAATAATTTCTTAAATTGACTCTATCGTTCATTTTTAGCTTCTTTTGGTTTCTACTCAAAAATGTTCGATGAATATAAGAAGAAAAAAATTAGCTTTCTTTTTGAAAATATTCTTTCCTTCAATAACTACTGAGTATACTGGCTCTTGTTTCTGTTCAGCAGGGAGTATTTAGCGAAATTGTTCAGTACATCGAGATGTTATAGCTTCGGATTCTCGAGCCATTACTGAGTATCAGAATTTATTCTATGAACATCTCAGTTACTTCACTTGTCTTAAACACTTTGCTTTTTACAACTTTTTTAAATGAAGCTTAAAAAATAAGTAGATGTGAAGGTATGTCAACCGTTTCTTCCTTATTTTATTCGATGTCGCTTCATTGTTACTTTACGAGGACATAGAGTTTGTAAAAAGTACGGCAATAAAAGAAGATAAAATGATAAAGCTTTCGGCGTTGATCAATTCCTGAGGTATGCGCCACCCATTTGACTTCATCAAGTATTGTTGGAGGTGATTGAATGCATATCTGGCCTTTACAACGATTCGCGGTGGCCTACCTATCGAGCCAGTGCTGCTATCCTCCCAGACAAGTCTGGTAACAAGTTGCCGAACCTGGAGGGTTGGAAGGCTTGGTGGGCCATGGGCTCGGCCATCGTTTCCACGTGTGTGTTGAAGGGCGCCTCCGATCACTGCGCCACACGACAATAAACACGTGAAACAAACCAATGATTCCCAACACCAAAAACCAATGATGAAAACAAGTGATCCTTCGTACTTTTTTAAAGCATAACTTAGTGATAATGCTAAAGATGAAAATGATAGGTAGAGATGAGTGACAGAAGGACTAGAAGATCAAAGACACGAAATGCAAACAAAAAGTCTTCACAATAGACTAAAAGTTAGAATTTATTTGACAATTTCTCTAATAAAGGCAATTTTTCAAACTAATAAAGTACTCTCTAATGCTGCGAGGGATGAACTACAGAACGTTGAGAAAACGCGTCAGGATGTGCCATGTATTCAACTTCGTTCGCAGAATAGTAGAGGAGACTAAATGCGTAAGTGGTCTATGCGAAAACTTTCTGTGTCCTACCGATGTATAAAGTTGTTGTTTCTAACATTCCAGGCAGGTCTCAAATAAATTTTTCTTCTCTAGAGGAAAAGAGAGCCTGGGGCATGCGATCGAACTAAGGAGAGTTTATGCATCACAGAGCACCTCTATTCACTACGTTTCCGCTTGTCTTTA